AAAACCTGAACAAAAAACCCTCCAATGTCATCAGAAGGTTCCAGAAGCTAAGGAAAAGTGCTCTTGGCTTTCTCTATAGATAGAATTCCCTTATGGCCTAGGAGATTCAGGATTTTAGTGCCAAAAAAGAACTTATTGATACATTTCTATGCTGATGTGTTCCAATGTATTCACCAAAATTAATCAGAGTGCTACTGCAAGCACAGTTCAACCCTAAAAGCCTTTGTAAATATGCATTTATTTACTTACTACTTACGTATGCAGTTCCAGGGACTGAACCCAAGGCCTTAAGCATAGTAAGCAACTGCTCCGCTACACCTGCAGCCTCACAAACACACCTTTAGATACACAAAGGGCTCCTCAAATCCTCCTCCTGACTTGCGCCTCATGTTTAAATCGCTTTACACATAAACAATGCTTCGTGCCACCGTGTCGTGAACAGAAAGTGAACATTGTGTCAGCTACACTGTGCCAGGGGTTTACACTATTGTTTCTGACGCTCAAGACGACCCTTCCAGACAGGCACTACTATCTCCGGGAGTCTACAAGGAAATGGGGTCTATTAGGAAAAGTTAAAATACTTGCCCATGGCAATTATTGGAATCCAGTTAAGTCTACCTCCAAAGTCGTTTTTTTTTTTTTTTTTTCCTTTACAAGCTTGCTCACCATGAAAGACTGGGGGCACAAATGGGCCTGAAAAAGGCCACACGAAGAATTTATAAAATCACTTTCAGTTTCAAAATTTTTAGCCTATGATCACCTGGGGTTAAGATGCCTAGCTGATACCCTCTCCACTAACAGGTTTTAGGTGGGACAAGGGAACAGTACATGAAGGGGCAATATAGCCTAAGGCCACGAAAAGTGCCTGACAGGGTTCTACGCGTCCACTGCTCTTTACTGGGAAGCAGGACTCTAAAACCACACGTTCAAAGCCATACCCTGGGCCAGGGATATAGCTTAGTGGCATAAGCACCTGCCTCACAAGCTCTAGGTCCCGAGTTCGATTCCTGGTACAACAACAAAAAAAACAAAGCCATACCCAACAGCCCTGGGATTCAAAGGTACCAAGATACTGAGTACAATATGTTTTTTGTTTTTTTTTTTCTTTGAGACAGGGTCTTGCTATGTAGTTCAGCTGTCCTTGAACTCACTATGCAGTTCAGACTGGTCTTGAACTTCATGGCAACCTTCCTGCCTCAGCCTTCCAGGTGGTGGGATTATAAGAGTGCGCCACCATGACCAGCCTGGGCATAGTCTCAGTACCAGCCCTGTACAAGCACACAAACAGCCTACGTAAGACCCACGTGTCCAGAAAATTTGCTCAGGCCAATTCACTGGCACAGGCCATTTCAAAAGCCCCTTTTGAGTTCATTTTCTATCCTTAAAAGTACTTTTTGCTGGGCTCCGTGGCACCGCCTATAGCACCACACAGCTCTGCCGCTCGGAGGCCGGGATTAATTACTCAGCCCTCCCTCACATCCCACATCGTAATCACCCCCACTTAGCCTGTTTCCTCCCCCTTTGGAATGGGCAGCAGTGAGGCACCGTCCATGAGTAAAGTTCCACCTTGTAGTAACAACAATAAAGGGAGGAAAAGAAATAAGAAATGAAAAAGAAAAAGACCCTTATTACATGAATAGAGACCAAGAAAACAGTCCCTCAAGTGCCCCTATCCTTAAATATCTGCCAATCCCTTCTTCTCAGAGACCAGAGCTGCTCGGTCATTTTGCAATCTTCGCTACTTGACTGAAGAAGGAAACAGGAATGTCATGGCATATTGGATTCCAGGATGAGGCCAAAGTCACACAAGGTTGGACAAAAATTGTTCTCCAGGAAGATTCGTTAAGTGGCACGTTAGTGCCATCTGCTGTTCAATCCTGGGAAGCAAACTTGGGGAATCCTAATATTAGAACCTGAAGTGTTGCTTTCCTCATTTTTCTTTCAAGTTCTTCCTATGTCACAGACAGTGTGACAGGACTGAAAAGGAGATATAAAGTTAATGCTACAAAGCTCAAAGGCAGTGTGACAGTACTGAAGGGTAGAGATGAGGTTAAATTCTACAAAGCCCTGCCTTTTTTTCTAGAGGTTCGCAGCTTAGGGAAAGTAGAAGAGCTTCAGACAGACAGGTTACCGTGGGCTTTGTGCATCGTAAGGAGACATGTAAGGTGAAATGTCAGTGAAGAAACATCTTAAGTCAAAGGGGTTCCTCAGAAGGACCTTAATGGATGGCTAGGAGTTCACCAGGCATAATCAAGGTGGAAACAAGAGACACTCCGGGTAAGGGGAAGAGTGTGTGAAAAGACCAGCGAGCACAAAATGACCTTCCATGGGTAGAGTTTAGTTTACTGTAGGCAATAAGGCCTTTGACTAGATTTAGGCAGGGCTGTAATTTGGTTAAGATGACTTTCCTTTTAGGGCAGAGGCAGTACTGGGACTCAGGCTCAGGGCTTTTGCGCTAAGCTACACTCCCAGCCCTTTTCTTTCTTTCTTTTTGAGACAGTGTCTTGTATGTAGTTCGGCCTGCCTTGAACTCACTATGTAGCCCAGGCTGGCCTCCAATTCACAGTGATCCTCCTGCCTCAGCCTCCTGAATGCTGGGATTACAGGTATGCATCCCCACACCCAGCTGCCCTTTTCAATTTGATACAGGGGTTCACTAAGTCACTAAATTACCCATGTTAGGCTTGAATTTGCAATCTTCCTGCCTCAGACCGCCAGAGTGCTCGGATTACAGGCATGCCTCACCACAACTAGTTTTGTTGTTGTTTTTTTGGTAACAAGAATCAAACTCAGGACCTTGCGCTTGCCAGGCAGGCACTATGCCACTGAGCTACTCCCCTGGCCCTTGTTTTTGTTTTTTTTTTTTAATGTGGTACTAGGATTGAACCCCGGACCTTCACACCAAGTTGTATCCCCAACCTCTTTTAAAGCTTTGAGACAGGGTCTTACTAAGTCTCTAAGTTGTTCAGAGTTGAGATCTTCTCACCTCAGCTTCCTGGAGTGCTGGAATTTCAGGTATATGCTACCACACCTGGCCTGGACCGACATTTTACAAAAACATCTGGCAGCAAGCAAGGCGGAGAACAAATTAGAATTCTGGAGGCAGAGAAACCAACCATTTCCAAGCCTATTTCAAAAGCCTAGTTTATAAATTACATGGAATTAGATTAAGGCAGAGGCTGTGAGTATGGAAAGGACAGAAGGAATCTGAGAGATATTTCAAGTAAAAATTGACAATACTGGTGTTTTATTGTCTAAAGGAGAGATTCCCCAAGTCCAAGGGAAAGGGAGAGAGGTGTGTGATGAGGAGACTGTGGAAAAAGGGGCAGAAGGAAAGCTAATAGTTTGTGTTTGGGACAAGCTGAATTTGAAGTGCTATAGACCAACCACAAGGTAAATGGAAACGGGTCTAACGTTCTGTGACCATTTCATCTCATCTCTTCAAAGCCCGAGGTGGAGATTTTCTATTAGAAAGAGAACGTGTTCCCACCGTGGGTACTTCTGCAGCCAATTTCCCTCCAAATTCTCTGTGTAACCTACCGTTGCAATCTAGTATTCCAAACGTTTCACCCTCTTTGTCAGAAAGTGTCACACAATGCAGAAAAGTATGGCTCACTTTGCAATAAGAAAGACCAATCTACCAAATTTAATAGTTGTAACTTAGAGCAGGATACTCCGTCATTCATAAAATGAAGATAACACCGATTTTTCATGGTTGTAGAGTTTAAAATAAATTTAGTGCCAAGTGTGGTGGCACACACTTGTAATCCTAGCACTTGGGAGGCTGAGGCAGGAGGATCAGCTTGAGTTTGAGGCCAGCCTGGACTACAGAGTGAGTTCAGGGACAACCTGAACTGCATACCACGACTCTGTCTCAAAAAAAAAAAAAAATTACTATAGGGTTTAACACATCAGAGGTACTGAATATATGTGGGTCACTCTTATTCTTGGGTTATAAAAGGTCAACTGAAATGTTTTAATGGAACACTCTTAACTTTTATGGATTGCTGAATCAAGAAATGGCTTTTTGTATTTTCTGTAACACATATGGTGAATTTTATTTACCACACTGTGTATATTCCTGATGTACACGGACCAAATAAATTTCCTTTACTACAGTTACTATAGTTAAATTCATTGTAAATATTTCTCTTCTGAATAGATGTTTCCATATTAATAAAAATTACCTTTGAGCTAAATTGGGTATGTAGTTGATGATAGTAACTAAGCTGCAGGCTGTAGACAAGGCTAGTATGTTCGTGCATATTACGAAGATAATAGCTACCATATTTTGAGAAGTCACTGCTGGCCAGGCAGTGCGCCAAGTGCTTTACGTTCCTTATCTCATTTAACGGCAGTGCAGCACGCTGGGGCTGGCTGCCATCTGTCCACAGGGCAGGAGCCCGGACTGTCATCCGACGCAGGCCGGTCTGGCCATCAGGGCTCTTAGCCTCCACTCTGCACTAGCGGTTCGCCTTTGACACGGGCTGCTTTCAGTTTAAGCTGTGGCGGCCTTGCCTTTGCTTTGCTTAAAGTGGAGGGGACCCTCTAGAGTGACATTCTGCTACAATCGTTATTCACTCAATAAACGAAACAACTAGAAAATGCAAAATCTCTTTCGGAAGGCAGGGGAGGCTTAACAGATAACAAAGAAAAACTCAGGTCCGGGGAGGAGAAGGTCTAGCTTCGATCCGCTCGGTGGATCGCCCTTGAACTCGGCGCTCGCCCGTCCCGCGATTCCAGCGAGCCCTCCGCACCACCCGCCAGGCAGCAAGCGGGGGCCGCCCTCCAGCCACCCCTCCCCGCCCGCCGGTGCAGGCAGGAACTAGGGTTTGCGAGCGGCTGGGCCTGGCCGACTCTCGCCTCCAGTTATCCTTGAAAACGGTGTGTGGACCTTTGCCTCTGCAGCGAATGGAGTTAGTCAGCGGCAGCCTCCCAACGCTCTAGCCCCCAGCCCCTCCACGGAAAATTAAACCCAGGTTAGCCCAGAGACCACTCACCGGAAGCCCGCAGAGGCAGGAGGTGGGCCGCGAACGGAGACCGGCAGTAGGCCGACCAATCAGGAGAGCTCAGCTGAGCTTCCGGGGGGCCAACAGAATTGAGTAACGGGCTTTCTCCCGCCTCTAGAGTGTCTTTGCCTCGCTGAGAACATCGCGAGACCTTCGCTCAAGCAGACGCCCTGGTTGAAGAGTTAACGCCCACCGTTTCCTCTGGTTTCTGATTGGTTTTCTGGTGGAGAAGGAGGTAAACGTCACGGGATCCCTGGTTGCCCATTGGTGGGGGTACGGGCCAGCCGGCGCGCGGGTTTCAGCGCGGGCGTTCGAACTGGCGCTTGGCGGCGTTTCCATGGGGATGCGGCCTGGCTGTTCCCTGAGGCTCCGGGTTGACTGGGCGCTCAGGTCGTGGGCCTTGGGGCTCTCTTCAGAAGGGGTCCCTTTTTCTCTGTCCCCTGATGGGAATCCATGAGGAGGAGTTCTGAAGTCCCGGAGGTGAGAATGGGCGGGGGAACCAAGGCGCGGGTAGGAAGCCGCGGCGCCTGCAGCCCGCCGAGCGCGTGGAGACGGTGAGGGAGCGCGGCCGCTCCCGGCGCCTCGGGACGCTCCCCGCTGCGCCCCGCGCCCCGCTCGCCTCCGCCGCTGCTTCAGCCCCGGCCTGAACCTGCCCGCGAAGGCGCTCTTGCTCTTGAACTCAGACTGACGGCGCCTCTGAGTGCTTCGCTCTGGCTTAGGTCGCGCCCCACGCAGACGCCGTTCTCCGCCGTCCTCCCGTATAATTTTTGAAAACTCTTACGCTTTTAAAGTCTTAGAGATGTGCAGAGATACTTGTTCAGCTGAGTGTACTTTTTTCTTATTAATACACGTGCAGTACACAGGGCCTGAGTTCCTCGTGGAGAGCGGGCGCATCCGTTTGGCGGAATTTAACTCGCCGCAGGTGGCCTGGGTTCTCCTTTCTGCCCTGCCCTGTTGCCCGTCCGTTCAGACGTGAGCTGTTAAAATTCCGCGTGGAAGAGGACTGCGCCCTGATCCCAGGCAGGAGGGCTGAGGGTTCCGAGTTAGCCTTTTCACTTGGTTGCTACAGTTCTGCGTCGTGGCTTCGCCTTGGTCTTTCAGTACTTCTGTGTAAACTCCTGTTAGTCTTCGCTTAAAACAAACCATCCTAAAAAACAAAACAAAACAAAACATCCTGTTGCTATATGCCAGCAAGTTTGATCTCCTTTTGGTTTCTTAGTGACCCACAGCTATTGTCACACTCTAAGTGTGCTTTGGAAAAATGTTTAAAAACATTTTTTCCTTTATGTTCTATAGAGGGGCATTGTGGTCTCTACTAGTGCATCTGACAGCGCACATAGCCTCTTATCCATCGGGTGTCCATGATAGAATTGTATTACCGAGACGGTTGTGTTAAGCATGGCCCGGATATTCACAATCTTACTGCTGATGGTTCTTTTTTATAGTAAATTCTTAGCTCAGTGGTAGTTGTAATAAAAGGATTGAAAAAGTCAAGTGTAACAGCTTACAATTCTTTTTTTTTTACATTTCTTTATTTTAAAGAGGAAAAAAATGTTCAAAAAGAAAAAAGTAGGATGGGTGCAAAGGGAAAGGACAGCAGGGAAAAGGGAAAAACTTTGAAAAATACTATTAGTGTCTCTTAGTTCATTAAAAAGGAAGGTTCATGCTAATATCGTTTGGAGAAATTTTTATGCCCATATCTTGTACCCTGAGCAGCTCCTTTAAAGATAACAACATCTAATGCGTTAACTATTGCTATTCTCTTATGGTTTTGTTATGAATTTTTGTTTTACCTTTTTTCCATAAAATAAAAAAAAACACAAAATCTCAAAACAGTAGGAGGTTAACAATGGTTAGTACATTGCATATTGTTATCTTTAAATTAGTTACTGAGAGTACAATGTATGGGTATTTTATTTGTCCAAACAATATTAGCACAAACTTTTCTTTTCAATAAACTAAGAGAAATTAGTAGTATAACTGTCTTAACTATCATATATATATATAATATTATTTTCTTCTTGCTTGTCCCTTCTTTTCCCCATTCTCCCATCCCAATTTCTCTTTCCTTTTGAAGTTTTTTACTGTTTTATAATATCTGTTATATATTTTAGATCTTATTTACTCTTTCAGCTTCTCACACTAGGGAGACAATACGATGTTTACACTTGTGCGTCTGGTTTATTTCACTTTTGAATATGGTCTCAAGTTGCATCCATTTACCAATAAAAGTCTCCAGTTTATCCTTCTTTACGGTTGAATAGGACTCCATTGTATAAAACGACCACATCTTTTTTATCCATTCCTCAGTTGATGGGCATTTGAGTTTCCAAGATTTAGCCATTGCAAATTGTGAGCAGCTTACAATTCTTATTACCCTTTTATAAAAGTTTGAAACACTACCTTATAGCTAAACTACAGATCTGTAACATGTAGTAAAAACTGGACTGGAGATTCAGGGTTTGATCTCTAATTCATTTACTGTGGATGGTTTTGTAAGTTATTTACCTATTTATTTATTTATTTACATTTATTGAGATAGGGTCTTGCTTTATTGTCCAGGCCGGCTGCCCTTCAACTTGTGATCCTCCTGCTTCAGCCTCCCAAGTAGCTGGGATTGCAGGAGTATGACACCACCTTTAGACTTCACTTTTTTCATCTGGAAAATCAGAGTTAAGTTATATTAGAATTCTTGTGACTATCAGTTTTTAATAATGGATATCAGATAGGCAGCAGACTCAGATTTCTCCTAGAGATGAAAATAATAGCTACTATTTACTGGGCATTTACCCTGAGCAAATGACTGTATGAAGGGCTTTATATAGATAGTACATTTTTCTTAGTATAGCACATTAATATGCTGCCCAGATAGTTCACTAAAAATATTTGGTTTTATGTTGTTAATGGAAAGTCTTTAGCTGCTCATAGTATGTCCCTGGATAAGTGATATTATCATCTTCCCACCTTCAGTTTAGGAGGAACAGCAGTTTCTTACCCTGGGCTGCTGTTTTGTTAAGTGAAGGGTAGAACTTAGCTCAGACCTCTTCCAGATCACTGTTCTGTGATTTGTCTGTTAGTCCATCTTCTCCACACAGGCTCAGCAAGCTTGTTCATCATTTTTGCAGAACAGACCCTCAGTCAGTTATTTAAATGAATAATAGAATGAGATGCAGTGGCATGCACTTCCCCAGCCACCTAGGCAGCTGAGGCAGACGAGTCATTTGAGACCAGCCTGAAACATAGGCTCATTTACTTCTTATATTTTGAGTACTGTGGTCATTTTATGCTTCCTGAATCACTGGCCAAGGATTATGATACTAATGTATGTTTAACAAGAAGACTTTTCCGTAAATATAAATGAATAACAATAGGTATCATATGTTGCTTATATATCACAGTTAATCCTCGTGCAAGCAAATATTTTTTCCAAGTCAAAATCCCTTTTTGTCTGTTCAGTGCTTCCTACATAGCTCCCACCTTCCACTTATCCCCACCCGTGCGACACACTCATCAGAATTGGCTGAGTGATCTTTAAAGACAGACACCTTTATGTAGCCCAGTTGACCCACCCAATCTTGCCCCTACCTTTTTGTCCTCATACTTTCTTCTTCCTTTTACCTACTGTTTAGCTTAACTGGCTTTCTATTGGTCACTTGATAATGCTGTGCTTATTTCCACCTTAGAGCTGACACATTCCTCCTGGAATGCTTTTCCTCCCAAACTTTATATTATTTTAGATTTCACCTCAGTGTTTCCTGTGGAATGAGGCCTTCTCTGATCATCCAGTGTAAAGTAGCCCCTTCACCTTGCTTTATTTTTTTTATTGTACTTATTGCCATCTGAAATTACCCTGTTTATTTGTTTGTTAATTATCTCCTCCCACAAGGGTAACACCGCCACCAAAGTAGTGACCTTGTCTGTTTGGTTTACTGTTGCTTCTCCAATGTCTATAACAGGGCCTTGCTCATAAAAGGCTCTCAAAAATATTTCTTGAATGACTGGATAAAGGTTCTTGTTGGAGCTGTGACAATAGTATTTGTTTGAGTAATACAAGCTTCCTTCATTCTGTTGCCAGGAGCAGTGGGTAAGTACCACCAAGTATGCCAAGTAATCACATTACCCTGATACAAAAGGTTCCACTACCCATGATTACAGATGGTAGCAAATACTTTTGAGAGTTTTAAATGTAGTGTTAGAGATATTTGTTCATGAAACAATTATCAAATGTTTATTTTCAGACACTGTTTAAATACTGGGGATAAAAAAGATTAAGATACGTTCCTTGACCACAAGGAGATCACATTCTAGTGCATGACATAGACATATTCATAGAGATAATTATTACAGAATGCAACTAATAATGGAGATGTGCAAGATATGATATGAACATTAAAGGGACATCTAATCACATCTGGTGAATTCAGAAAAAGCCTCTTACATATTTTAATCAGTAAGAAGTAGTGGTAAACTGGGCATGGTTGGCACATGCTTGTAATCCCAGCATTTGAGAGGCTATGAAGATTGCCGTAAGTTCAAGGCCAAACTGAACTACATAGTAAAAGCATGTCTAAAAAAAAGGTAGTGAGATTTGATCAGCGTAGGAGGCCACTTAAAAGCACAACCTGAATTAATAAATTAATGCACAGAGAAATAAAGCAGATGTTAACTAAACTGGAGACAAAGGAAAGAGCTAGGTCATAGGAGGCTTTGTGGAGCATGCTAAGGAGCTTGCAGTTTGCTCTGAAAGTAGATACTAAGATGTTTTTGAAAGATTTTAAAGAAGAAAGCAGCAGGGACTGCTGATCTGACTCAGCAGTCTGCAGGAGAGGGCAAAACTGCCAGTAAGGAGAACAGTTAAGAGACATGTAGTGATCTACGTGAGAGTTGCTGGGGCCGAATCACTTAGCAGTTGTGGCAGGACTAAAGATAGAAGGGAAATTTGACAAATATTTAGTAAATTAAGTTGGCTTGATCTGCTGATAAGATTTAGGATTAAAGGAGAGGAAGGCATCTAGGATGAGTGACTATATGCATGGTACCCATCTGCCCCTCGCAAAGAGAAAGGTGGAGGATTGATTTTTTGTTAAGAGATAAGGAGTTCTGTTATTAACAAGTCGTTCAGATGAGGAATCGTGAAGATGTTTTAATAGTGATCCTTGAATGTTTTTGCTGTAAGACACATCTGTGACACTGTTTTACTGTGAAGTGAACTTAAGTTATACTGCGATTCTAAAAGTTAATTGACTCAATAATACTGCACAATATCCAGGTCAAAAATACTAGTTGAGATCTCACCAGTAATGAGAAGCAGTACTGTGTCTGTGAATGGTCTTTTTAAGTTAGACTCCTGTTTATGTTGATAAGTGATTGGTTAAAATAGTGGTATAGAACTATGTAGCCAACATGTGGCTATCCATACACTTTCTAAAGCAAATTAACATAGTTTTGAATAAATTAACCATGACTCAGTTTCTTCATTT